CAATCTTACCTTCTATATGGAAATTCTATCCTCACATTGGTTCATTCTGCTGTGCAGACTTTTGATGGAGTTTTTAATCTCTTGGAAATCTGTTTGCATCTGTTTTATGGATTCCATTTGTTTCCTATGTTGGGGTTCCATCATGTTCCTCAGATCTTCTATTTTTTTTTATCTGTGTCCTCTCTAGATTTATTAATCATGTCTTGCACCATGAGCACAATCTTTGCTGTTACCTGAATAATTATTTCTGATTTCATTTTTCCCAGGTCCTCTTTTGTTGCCAGTTCAGAGAGTCCAGGTGGTTGAGTATCAGAGTGTTCCATCTTATTTTCCTTTGGGGTTGGTGTAGGTGATCTGGAAGTCTGTTTTTGAGGCTTGTTTATGTGTCTTCTCATTTTCACTGGGTGGGGTGGGGGAGCTTCTGGCGCCCACGCGGCTCACCTTCTCTGCCCTAGGAGCTTGGGATGGCAGTGGGGGAGCTTCCTTCCGGGTGCTGGGACCGGCTGAGCTTCACTGCCCTAGGAGCCTGGGATGGAGGCTGGGGAGCTTCCTTCCGGGTGCTGGGACTGCAAGAATAAATTACCTTTTTAAAAATTAGATAACACTTTTGCTCATTCTCTTCCTATCAATAAGATTAATTATGCATTAAAGATCTTCAGAGATTTGACCTTAGGAAAGTTTTTGTTATATTTCATTCCCTAATTCAAGAAGTAGACCATCTAAAACTCAGGAATATTTATGGAATGTAAACTAATGTTTATTATTCTCGTAACTCCAAATGTGTATTTGGGAGACTCTTTTATTCATTTTGCCAAAACTACTTTGCTTTCCTCATCTTAACAAGAGTATTTTAATGTTTAATTATGTAAATATATGTTTATATCAAGTTTGAATTTTACTACTTTTAATCAAATGCCAGTGCAATTTTATAGTGATGTATGCTTTTTTATATATCATGATTATTGATTATCATGTACCTTAGTTAAAGGAAATTATTAAAGAGTGAATTAAAAAGTGAGCTTAAGGATACAGCAAAGTTACTGTTACTCTTTGATTGAAATTAATGAGATAGAAGAGCACAATTATAATTCTGCAGAACTCACACACTTATGTTTTGTTTTTTTGGTAACATGAGTAGTGACCATAAAAATTTAATAAGTCGGGAAGAACTTTATGCTTATATAGTGGAGACGTAAGTTTGGAGAATAGTGGAAAACTTCATTTTAACTTACCCAAAAGGTATATGCCTGCTGAGTTGCTTTTACTTGAGATATTATAATGGGGTTCTGAGAAGCAGGGATTTTATTTAAACAAGTCTGTTGGTTACATAATTTTACTAATATTTGGGTATTGTCTAATTTTCTTTGGTAGAAATTTTTTTGTGTTTTTTTTTTTTTTATACCGGGGACCAAACTCAGGACCTTGCTTTCGAGACAGGCGCCAGAACCACTGAGCTAAATCCCTGGCCTAGAAAGTATTTTTTAAAAAACGTATGGAAGGGTCGGAGATTTAGCTCAGTGGTTTCACCACCTCCTGCACAAGCACAAGGACACAAGTTCGATCTCCAGTACCAAAAAAAAAAAAAAAAGTATGGAAAGCTTTTGTAAACTTTGAGAGTTTATTGTATTCATTGCACTTACTAATTTACTTGAAGTATTTAATTTGATCTTTATAACATAAGGGTGACACTGTTGTTATCCCTAGTTGAGAAATAAGAAACTCAGGAGATTAAGTAATTTTAGATTTTCAGTAATTTTTAGATTTTACAATTAGTAAGCAGGAGAGCCTGAATTTGAACCTCAAGTCCCATCATAGAGTGTCCAAAACAAGGAGAAATGGGTGATTATTATTCCACTGTTGCGTTTTCTTTCTGTTTTAGGGGGAAAACCGTAGTAGCAGAGGAAATGCTGCCCATAAGCAGAAGCCTTAAACAGTTGCAGTTTTTCTTTCTTTTCTTGTCTTTCAAACTTCTCAAGAAGTATTTAAGAACTCCTGTTGGCTGGGCGGTCACGCTCAGGACTGACACAGCCCTCTGAGAGAGCCTGGCCACTTGCTGTGCTGTCCTCAGGCTCCCCAGGGACCGCTGTCTGGACAGGGCTGGTTCCCTGGGTCATGGCTCTTTCCTTGCCTTTTCTTGTCCTTTGTGCTATCTGACTTGGGTCCATACACATGCCTAATGTTTTGAATCAGCTTGTCTTGGGTTATCTTTGCTACTCATGCTGATTTATATCTTGCTGCAGTGCCAATTAGCACATTGCCATACCCTTTGCCCAGTTTGCTGAATCAGAATTTTGGAGGTAGCACCCAGAATCTGAATATTATAAAGCTTCATAAGTGATTCTGATGATGTGTCAGGTTAGGAGAGGCTCGCTTCCCTTCAGTGGGGATCATAGTAAGCCCGCTCAGAGAAAGCAGATAAATTCGCTTCTGCTCACGTACACTGCAGCATATTTAAAAACCTGTATTAATGAAGGTGGTGATGAAGACATAATTCCTGTATAGATAGCCCCAGTATCCACTTAAATAGTAGCCCATTTGTTTAATTATAATAACCACAATAAAAGTAAACACAATCCAAAGTCACTATTACTAGGAAGAAGCAAATATTATGTATCATTTTTCATAATTACATTTTTTTCCTGTCCCCTAAAAGAAAATGAGAGAATTGTGGAGTACCATGTGCAGTAGCTTGCAGCTTATGAGAGATTGTGTGAAATTAAAGTCTTTGAGCAAAGAATGCAGTATTTTGCTTCCATTTTGTCCTTTAAACCTTCTTAGTTCAATGCAGAGGAAATGAGCTCACATGTAGTGTCTTAGAGGGCTTAGGAGGGTAACACTGGAAACTTTAGTTGTTGGTACTTTAAAGTGATCCCATCACATAAAGAGGAAACACCTTTGAATACTGTACTTACTGTTCTCGGTCATTTTTTACGTGAAAAGATGATTATTATTTTTATGTTATGTAATAAAATAATGTGGGTGAACTAATACTTTGTAGGTGCCTAAATTTTCGGTTGTTTTAACAGTACTAATTAAGAATAGATTTGCACTGGAAAGTCTGGGTTTCTTTAAGAATAATTTATAGCATGCAACATGTAATATTTCTTTCCTTTCCAACTGCTTTCTATTATATGCTTAGGGTTTAGATCGCTCCAATTCCTGGGTTAACACTGGCGGTCCAAAAGCTGCCCCATGGGGATCCAACCCCAGCCCAAGTACAGAATCAACACAGGTGGTGTTTACCTTAGAGGTTTTTTTATTGGCTGCTGATGTTTCCCTTTAGAACATTACTTGCTAGTACATACTGTGATTTCAGTGGCTTGCTTTTTTAATCATTAAGCCGTGTGTATTTTTGTTTACTTAGCACATTTTCTACCCACTATGCATGAATACCACCAGTTGCACCAGTAGTGCTCTCCTTCTCTGTTTCCTGTCTTACTCCTTGTTCTTTATACATCCTATCAGTATTTCAATGCCCGCTGCTTATGCAAATGATGGCTTTTATAACAGCTTCTACTTTAGGGATTGCATATCTTTAGTAGAAATCGTTAAAATTTGTATGTGGAAAAACAACAGTTTTCTGTTTGCTTTTGGTCTACAGTGTAACTATGAAATCATTTGCATTTAGCTATCTTGCCTTTCTTTATTCATAATCATTCAATGGAGCAGTAATAAATTGAAATTAATATGAACAGTGTATGATCTGCATGCTATAAGATTAAATGCTGGAAAGAAAAATTCATTTTAATTTATACTGTGTTGCAAAGTATGAAATTTGTTATAATTTAGTTGAGTTAGGTTTTGCTTACATAAGACTAGTTGCTTGATAGCTAATACTGCATGGTATCTCAAAATATATTTCTCATCTGTTTTGGAGAAAAATACTCATTCTTAAAGGAAATTTGTAATTCTTTGTTTAATATTGTAGATAGTTTGTATTTGAAGTAGTGTATGACACTCTTAAACAGTGATTTTTTTGACAGTAGTGAAAACATGGAAGAAATTATTCTAATGTTTTAATTTTCTTTATTAAATATAAAATTCTTGATTTCTTTTTTGGTCAGAGATCAGTTGAGAAGTATATTTTTACGTTTTATATATTTTTACTAGATATGTGCATGTTTATAGATCACACAGAAAAGTTTCATTCTTTGCAGCACTCCAAATACTACAATCATTAAAATACGTATTTTTTAAAAAACTAAAAATATATAGAAGCCATTTTTATACTTCTACTACATTGTTATTAAAGCAGCTTAAAGTAATATAAATGAGATGAGCAATGAAATAAATGATTGTTGAAGCCACAGTAAAAGTCTGTTTTAAAACTATACAGCCCTTGCACTGCAAAGTCATCCCCTGCAATGTTAATGTTCTCTCGTCATTCATTCATCTTCACTCCATAGGCTATGGATCGAAGTTGTAATCGTATGTCTTCGCACACAGAGACGTCAAGTTTTTTACAAACATTAACGGGACGCTTACCAACTAAAAAGGTAGATTCATATGACAACAATACAAAGAGGGGGAAGTAATTCCAGCCACTAAATACTTGTAAGATTTCTTTACATAACCAGTAGAAGATACTAGGATAATTGGGTTGTGTTTGCAGGAGTACCTGAGGAGGCTCTGCTCATCGGTGCCTCTTGGGACCTGCTTTCCAGTGTAGGCTTTTACATAAGATAATATTCATATCTTTAGGATTGACTGATTTTATGGTTTAGTGAATTCACATTTGATCATCAAATTTTAGTACCAAAGATGCATCACTTCTTAATTCTGTTTCTGTAACTGCTTCTGTTTTGTGTTTTAAATCTCCAGGGAAAGGAAGATGAGTTAGAGAAATTATCACTCTTAGTAAGATATATTGATTTGCTTCCCTACGCACAGTTTAGTTAGTCCGTCTTCATATTAATATACACTACTTTGCAAATGCTGGGTACTTACGCAGAAATTTTCTGCTGTTGTTAAAATTAAAGAAAGATTTTAAATACTTGAAAATGAATGGCGTATAGCAAAATTTAAAACTTTTAATAGTATTTCCTAAATTGTACCAGCAAAGTTCATGAGTGTTTTGGTGCATGTTACAGTATGTATTTAAGGCACACACAAGATCTTCCTGTGAGTTTTCAGTCTGGTTTCTGTTTGCAGGTACAATTTAGGAGGCTGTTTCCTCCCTGTCCTGTTAAAGTTACATTTTACTACTCCAAGATAACATGCGACATCCCCAGCTGTGCCACACGCACTGTCTTATGTGCGTAAATGGTCGTTTCGTTAATGGGTGTCTCCACTGCATCAGCAGCGGCTCACAGGCCTTATTTTGCTTATTCTCATTACACCTTCATTTGCATTTGCATTGTATTTGGCTTCTCACAGCTGCAGGTTTGACATTGATAATGACTCTGCTTTACTCTGGTAGCTTTTTCACGAGGAGTTGGCTCTGCAGTGGGTCGTTTGCAGTGGCAGCGTTCGAGAGTCAGCTTTGCAGCAGGCCTGGTTCTTTTTTGAACTAATGGTGAGCAAACCAAATACATTCTTCAGTAGTTTTTGTATCAGTGAACAATTCTGTGTAATCTTGTTTTCTATTAGAAGTATCTTTCTGTTGCACACCTGTGGTCTTCCGTGTGGCCCCAAGGCAAAATTACGGGTATTATATTTCTTAATAAACATTGTGGACACTCGGCATAATGAAGGTAAAATTGGAATTGTTTTTGCTTAATTCAGTAAATGACATTAAAAACAAATGAATGAACTAATATTTTATAATGCATTTATATTATATAAAACATGTAGATGTATATATGCATAAACACATACATGACGGAACAAATGTTTATCAAGTGAGTACAGTATGCTAGCAGCTGACCAGGGCACAGAGCAGTTAAGTACTTGCCTAAGGAGGCACGGCTTCCAGGCAGCAGAACTGTGGTACAAACTCAGGTGCCCTGACACTAGGGCACCTAGTGCCCTCTGCATTTCTTCCTTAGCTCTAGAAAGTCAAATTATTGAAACTTTTTTTTCCAAAAAAAGAAATAACCAGAAGTGATGGCTCATTCCTGTACTCACAGTTCTCAAGATAAAAGGGTGGAGATGGAAGCAGCTCACTGGTAAGCGAGAAGCCTTGGGCTCAGTCTCCAGTATGGGGGGGGGGGAGTCAAGGAAGAAAGGAGGGAAAGAAAGAAAAGAAGCTTCCAGAACATACATAGGGTCATTCTCAGCATTGATTACCATTACCTGCATTGGGGATAAGAAGACATTCCTTCTAGAAACTTGTTACTGTACAGAAAAAGAAGATCACAGACCATGTATAAGCAACAGAAAGCCCATTTTCCCCCCTAGAATATAAACACAAATTTGTAATTTGTGTATTTTTGTTGTGAGATAAAAGTTGTAATTTTGACTTTAAAAAGTCTCACATGTACGTTCAGCTTTCTTAAATACTAGTATGAGTCAAAAGATCACCATTTAAGACTTAGCTGAACTTTAGCAATTAGACAAGAGAAAGAAATAAAAGGAATAAAGATAATAAAAGAAGTTAAACTGTCATTGTTTGCTGATGATAGGATACACTACATGGAAGACCCTAAAGCCTCTGCCAAAAGACGTCTAGACAGATTCAGTAGAGTAGCTGGAGACAAGGTCAGCACACAAAAATCAGCAGCCTTCTCTTACACAAATAACAGACTCACTGAGAGAGAAATTAGGGAAACAATCCCTTTCACAGTAGCAACCGAAAAAATGAAATATCTAGGGATCAGTCTAACGAAGGAAGCAAAAAACCTCTACATTGAGAACTACAGCACTCTGAAGAAAGAGATTAAAGAGGATATAAGAAAATGGAGAGACAACCCCTGTTCTTGGGTTGGAAGAACCAACATAGTGAAAATGGCCATACTTCCAAAACTGCTATAGAGATTCAATGCAATCCCGATTGAAGTCCCAACAGCATATTTCACAGAACTGGAGAAAACAATCCAAAAGTTCATCTGGAACCAGAAGAGACCTAGAATAGCAAAAGCAATTTTAGGCAACAGGGTCATGGTAGGGGGTATCACAATTCCCAATTTGAAATTATGCTACAAAGCCACCGTGATAAAAACAGCATGATACTGGCAAAGAAACAGACCTGAGGATCAGTGGAATAGACTAGAAGATGCAGACACAACTCCAGACACACTCAGCCACCTCATCTTTGACAAAGGAGCAAAACACCCTCACTGAGGGGAAGACAGCCTCTTTAATAAATGGTGCTGGAAAAACTGGATTTCAACCCGCCAAAGATTAAAACTAGGACCCCTATCTTTCACCATGCACTAAACTAAAATTGAAATGGATTAAAGATCTAAATACTAAAACAGAAACACTAAACTTGCTGGAACATAAGTTAGGTTGAACTCTTGAAGACATTGGCATAGGAAAAGACTTTATGAACAAATCCTCAATAGCATGGGAACTAGCGCAAAGAATCAACAACTGGGATTTCATCTTATTAAAAATCTTCTGCACAGCAAGAGAAACCACCAACAGAGCTAATAGACAACCCACAATGTGGGAAAATTTTTTTACCAGCTGTTCCTCAGACAAAGTTCTACTATTTAGAATATATAAAGAACTAAAAAAAATCAGACCCCCCCCCCAATATAGAGACCCACTTCAAAAATGGGCATCTGAAATTAACAGACATTTCTTGGGCAAAAAAGTAAAAGCAACAAATAAACATGAAAAAATGTTCAACATCACTGATCATTCGAGAGCTCAGAGGCAGTGAATCAGGTGGATGAGGACACAGCTCGTGTTTAGAGCCTGGATGGCAGCAGTAGTCACCGTGTTTCTGATCACACCTCATAACCCTCAGGAAAGGACCCAGCGCTGCTTCAGAAAGTGGCAAATGGGGCCGCCCACTCGGGATCCTCCTGCCCCGAGGAGCTCTCCTGTCAATAAATATCTTCCTACTGTTAACCTCCGTTGTTCCTAGGACTCATTCTTCAATTCCTAGAGAACAAGCCCTCAGTGTATCATACAGTTAACAGGTTGGGAGATACAACATTTCATGTTTCATATTTCCTGTGACAGTATTGGAGGTTCCACTGAGATAATAATTAATAGGAGGTGTTCAACAACTATATTTGGAGACCAAAACTAGAAAGGTAATTGGGCTAAGAGGACAGCCAATATTTTGATACTGGCCCTCCAAGGTCAATGAGGACCCAGGGCATGAGAGAATCCTTTCTACAGGATCCTACAACTTTGATGAGCCACACGACGTCCTCAGCAGGGCGATTGCTAGACTCCTAGAGGACAAGAATCAAAAACTACAGGGCCAGGGATTTAGCTCAGTGGTTCTGCCGCCTGCCTCACAAGCACAAGGACCTGAGTTCGATCCCCGGTACCAAAAAAAACCACAAAAAACCTACAGTGTGCCAAAGAAGCATCAACAAGAAGGAAAAGTTTCCTATGCTTTCACAGAAAGTTACATGGTCAAGCAAGGCTGTGACCCATCCTGATGGTTGACCCTGACAGAGGAGCAGAGAGGTTCTATACATGGTTCCATAGTAATGCCTGAGGAGACTCAGCTGACCTTGACAGACAGCAAGAGGTTAATATTGATTGACACGAGTCTCACTTTAACTTGGTCTTAAACACCCAGTAGTAAAATATAACTAAAAGATATATAAAAACAATACCATATGTGAAAAACTAAAAGTGTAAATAAAGATCAAAATGTATAATTGACAATGTGAAATAAGAAGAAAAGGTCTAAAGGAGTAGAGGAAGTGGGAGGGTAGGGGAAAGGAAAGAAGGGAAAAGAAAAAATATGAGAAAAGAAAAAATGGAAACAAAGTCTCTGTAAATAGAGAAGGGTGGAGGGGGTGAAGGGAGGGCAGGGGAATGGGGAAAAAATAAGAACCAAGAGAGATCATGTAAAGGTACAAGATCCCAACGATGAATGTATAACTGTATTGTATACCTAAATTGTACCAATAAACTAAATGGAAAAAAAAAAAGACTTGGCTGAGCTTTATGCCAACTATAGAACTTTAGCTTCAATTTCAGAATTCTTTGTTACTACCAGTGGTGTAATAATCTACCTAGAAGTGCTCCGTGAACTGAAGTCTCTGTGGGGTTCTGAGTACTGTTTCTTGTAAGTCCCGAGCCCTTAAGAGTCCGCTGTGTTCCTGTTCTCTGCTCCCTGCAGTAGATGCTGATGACGCTTTGGTGTAGACAGGGTTTCTAACCTTTTGGAGCTTATGGTGGGGCATGCACAAAGTTAAGGAGATTTTAAAATGTTTCTTATGGGGTAAGTATTTTTCTGTTGCCATACGTTGGATTTTTCGCCTGAATAATTTTATGAAGGTGATGTAGTGATTGAGTTGTATTGTTTGATATTTCCTTGACAAATACAACATATTTTAAGGAATTCTTCAAAGTATGTGAAAAGCTCCTAAGTGCTAGATTCTTATAACTGTTAATTAAAATAACAAGAAATTAAACTGAAGATTAGTATGTTTTTTCAGGTAAAGAGCATGGTGCACCATTTGTACTTTAATGATAAACTGGATGCTCCAAGGAAAAGTCGTTTTCCAGAACGTTTTATGGATGACATTGCTGCTCTTGTCAGCACAATTGCTAGTGATATAGTTTCTAGATTTCAGAAGGTAACAGTAACTTCTTCATTTATTTCTCTTTTAAGCTGAAATTAAACTATCACACGCTTATTTGATTTTGCTTTATATTCTATTTCCTAGGACACAGAAATGGTTGAGAGACTCAATACAAGCCTTGCATTCTTTCTCAATGATCTGTTGTCTGTTATGGACAGAGGATTTGTCTTTAGCCTTATAAAGTCCTGCTATAAACAGGTAACATATAATTACTACTGATAATTAAATACTGTGTTTGCTCTTTTCAGAGCTGGAGCTTCAAGAGCACATAAATGTACTGATATAAAAATAACAAAACAGACAGTAATGTGTTGCTCTTACTGAGGCAAGAGTAAGTCATATTAGTTTCATTGGGACACCAGGACTGTGGCAAGCGGTTATCAGTGGCAGGCTTTGCCTTGAGCTGTAGAGGCCATCAGGACTCTTCCCTTCCCATTCTTGGAGCAGACAGCCATGTCGGTAGAGATGTAAAGCGGCTTCCAGACGCTGCACAGGTGCCACATTTACCCTGCGTAAATTGCTATGCATGCTCTGTCTTCAGTGGTGTTGAGGGTTGAGGAATTTTTGCTCTGCGTTCCCCCTAATGCAGCCCTTAACATTGTAGAGTTTGGAGTCATGGACAGGTGTTTACTGAAGTCCACAAATGTTGTTCAGTGTCTTGCCTTTATTGAACTAAAAGCACCCTAGACCTTTTCCACAACAGCTGATTTTGTTTTAAAATTTTTATCAACTGATGAACAAAGCCAGCTTTTTGGAACACATTAGTTATTGATACTGATGAGCCACTTGGGTAGTGAGTAGTATTATCTGTTCTGGAATTACCTTTTAGAGGAGCTTCAAACATACACATATCTCTGGGTCCCATCCCAGGATTATTTGTTTGTTTGGTTTTTGGTGGTACTGGTGTGATCGAACCCAGCACCCTTGCACTGAGCTACTCCCCAGCCCTTTTTTATTTTTTATTTTTGTTTTTTTTTGTACCGGGGCTCGAACTCAGGTCCTTGCGCTTGCACAGCAGGCAGTGAAACCACTGAGCTAAATCCCCGGCCCCTTTATTTTTTATTTTGAGACAAGGTCTCCCAAAGTTGCCCAGGGTGGGCTTGAACTTGTGATCCTCCTGCCATACATAGCTGGGATTACAGATGTGTACTACCATGCCCAGCTTCATTCTGGAATTATTTAGGAGATTGAATCCTACGTGTGGCGTTGAGGGGAGTGAGACACAGTGCTTATGAAGCACTTTCCAGCTCATCCACAGATTAGTTTTTGGTGACTATGAGTCAGCAATTCTATTTGGCAATGTAATATTTAAAATGTTGAAGGCAAGCTCCATTGGGTGCCTTTATTAAAGTTTCCTTCTTTTAATAGTTAGAGAAGCTAATTATGCATGGGCACTGACCCAGTTGCAAATATTTGCAAAACACTTATGTTTTAATTTTTCCCAAAAAATGTCATGTACTATTGCTACCAAATCTTACCCTATCTTAATTCTTGAAGTATTGATTGCTACCCTGGCAGACATTGAACTGGACCCTGTGAATACCAAAGCTGTTAAGTCACTTTGTATTATGTTTCATTAAGTAGCTTATTATGGATCTGGGAAAATAAAGAATAGTTATAAATTCAGGTAAACACAACAGGCTATAAAAAGAATAAATCTCTTTTAAGAAGTGATAAGTTATTTTGGTGATATGTTTTTCCTCGTAAAGTATATTTTCACAAGTGGAAATATGTATCTTACATTGGAAATATAAAATGTGATTTTTAAGTTAGGCAAATGGATATATACTGTTGATCTTGTAGTTCCAGTTTTTCTATTTTTGCAGTAATTCTGGCAAAAGCTGATACTACTGTTTAAATCACAAAGCCCTAAACCTCCCACTGAGTACTATTCTTTAATTTTTCAATTTATCATTCTGATATTACTGTTAAAAGAAAGTATACATTCAATTAGTGTTCTTTTATTTATGCAATGCTTACCAGGTATCTTCAAAGCTTTATTCACTGCCAAATCCAAGTGTCCTGGTGTCCTTGCGATTGGATTTTCTGCGAATCATCTGCAGCCATGAGCACTATGTTACATTAAACCTCCCCTGCAGCTTGCTCACTCCCCCGGCGTCTCCATCCCCTTCGGTTTCTTCTGCAACATCTCAGGTGTGCACAATATGTGACCGTGCATATTGTTCAATCCATGTCTGTGAAAAAGAATATTAGACAGTGGGAAAAGTTATAACTAATTGTTATTGACTAACAGCTATATGATAGGTTGGTTCTAAGTGGTTTTAGAAGAATTACCTCATTTAACCTTAGAACAGCTCTAGGAGTTAGGTTCTATTATTTTACAGACAACACACACACACATCCACACACACTCTCTCCCAAAAATCCATTGGAGACATAGGCATCACTGAGTAAAAACCAGCAGAGCCAGGCTCTAAACTAAGGCTTTATTCTGTCTAGAGCTTGAGTTCTTAACCACTGTTTTGTATTCTTTTCACAGATCTATCCACGTAAGAGTAAATTCACTTACATAAATTCACTTATTTGGATGTTTACACAGATTGAGTTCTCTTGAGGTAGACACTGATGTCATTTGGGGTGCACGATGACTTAGAGATCAGTACCTGTGAAGGGAAGAGGAGTGAAGCAAAACTGCAGTGGAGGCCCCCTGGCCCTCCCTGCTTCTCTTCTGTTCAGAAGCCTTAGAGGAAGTTCGGTGGATGTTTATAGCTTTCCGCAGGTAGCACTTAAGCAGCTAGCTGGTAGTTTCTCTAAAGATAAAAAAGGGTTGTTACAGTAGCACATATGTCATCTCAGATAGATTCGGTTTAAAGGGACTTCACCATTAATATCAGAAGCCAGAATTTTTCTCCTTTCCAGTGAAAGACTCTTTCTGCTATCTTATCCCTAAGGTAAACAAACTACCTCTTAATGTCTAAAGTTGAAGTTGATCTTAAGCACTTCTTATTCTCTTTTCAAGAAATTTAATTCCTGAATGGAAGCCTCTGGGCTAAATCAATCTCATAGGCTTGATAAAAGGAAAAACTTACTGGAAAGCATCAGAGCACACTCACAGCTTTTCATTTTATCTTGCAAAACATCTTAACCATCATGTTACAACATACCTGGCCAGTGTGCCCTTCCTATAATGTATGAGGCTGGGCTTTTGCTCTCTTTTGCCAAAGGTGTGGCTACCTAGTCACAGGCAAATTAATCATAGATACAGTTCCTACAACCTTTAAGAAACACATTTGTTTATGTTTTAACTTGTTACTGAGCATCTCCTTCAGCCAGGAAATTCTCAGAATTTTTTGTATTGTCTCCTTTCTCATCTAAGTGCATGATTGTGAGATTTTAGTTGTTACAGAAACATCCTCTTCTTTGAGAAGTCAGAAGGAATTTTATGTGCTTATTAAGAAAGTGATTACCCCTCAGAGTCATCTGAAATCTGTTTTTCTGCAAAAGTCCTCATGGGTGGTACTGAGGATGGGATACTGGGTATGTTGAGGGATGCTGTTTTGCAGTAGTCCAATTTTAAATAAGCTCAGTGAATAGACCACAACACAGTACTAATTCCAGAAATAGTATGTTCTCTGACAAATGATTGTACTGCCATTTGAAATTTCTCTAGAACCCAGTAGCCATGACTGTGAATATTTCTCTTGTACTCTGGGATAAGTATACTATAACATTTGGATTTAGTTGCCTTTTTTTCCTCCAGAGAATGATATTGAAATGTTGGGTGGCTAAGAGAATAAAGGAGAAAACCAAATGGAAATTTTTCAATATAAGAAGGATTCTTTAAATTTTCTGTCAGATTCATTTCAATAAAAAATAATCAAATCAGGGCCGGAGATTTAGCTCAGTGATTCTGCCACCTCCCTCGCAAGTGCAAGGTCCTGAGTTCAGTCTCTGGTACCGAAAAACAAAACAAACAAACAAAGAGAAAATCAAATTAATAAAGAATTTTGTCATAGTCTTCTGTGCCAAAAGTAAGAACATTTATTTTCTCTGATGCTTACACTAGTAATAATATAGAATACATTGTCCTATGTAAAGATTATCTGGCTTTCAGTCATGCTCACGTGTCACTTGTTGTAATTGTCTAAATGTAGGATGTCTTGGCGCACACCTGTTACAGTGTTGTTCTCCCTCATGCCTCCACAGAGTTCCGGGTTCTCCACGAATGCACAGGACCAGAAGATCGCGAACATGTTTGAGCTGTCCGTGCCTTTCCGCCAGCAGCACTACTTGGCCGGTCTTGTGCTGACAGAGCTGGCTGTCATTTTAGACCCCGATGCTGATGGGTGAGGGAACTCGATTTTCTTTGTACAATATCGGTTTTATTTTGGACAATGGAACAGAAATATCCATGTGCACTTCTTAAAAATCAAAAGCTTACTACTTCCCGCTCCTTTTCTACTTCACTGTTCGTTGTTCCTTTATATGTTATTTTTGTATTTCATTAATTTTAAGAAAGACTTTTTCATATTTTATCATCTCTGAATTTGAGATTTGTCTTAAAATTGGTGGTGTATCATGGTTTATTTAGTAGCATTTTCTTAATACTACGTAAAATAAATTATGCATATTAGTAGGTAGGGTCTGACTTACTGAATTTTAGTAGGCACTTCTTAGTTAAGTAAAATAAATTAGTTTTCTGTTTCATTCCTTGTGAGGGAAATTTATCATTGCTGTCCTACTAACATAGCACTTTATTTGAAAAATCGAGCTAGAAACAAATAATCCTTTGGTTTTGAAAACCTCTCATTATGCACACTTTTAGAAGATTTTTAGAATCCCACATTGTAAGGAAAGAATGGCAGTTGTCTTATGATTTGAATTTGCAGAAATAGATTAGTGTTGGGGTCCTGCGTCCCTTATGGGCAGTGTACACCTTGATAGTTTCTCTCAGAAGTCTGTGTGAGGGGCTGGCGTGGTGACAGTGGCGTATAGTCTCAGCTACTTGGAAGACTAATGTAGGAAGATTGTAAAGTCAAGGGCAGTTGGAGCAATGTACAAGACTCTGTCTCTTATTTAAAAAAAAAATCCGTATGACAGTAATTCATTTGGGTAAAATTTAAGTTTATAATGCAGTTTAACCTCATATAAAACCTCAAGAAAACAAAAAGAGATGCCCAAATGCAGGTTTTACAAATGTTCTCTGATTTATTTGAGGAATAAAAGAGGTTTGTAAAGTTCTCAGTAATATGGCAGGGACATAAATTTGAAAAGGCCAAGTCTTCTTCAAATGAAAGACTGCAAAAAATGACAACCTCCTATGTTTGGAATGTGGTTTAAAGAAATGGTTCTCCCTGCCTTCTGCAGAACTGTCAGGGTCTGAAGCGCATTTCATGGGTGTCCGTGGAGGGTTGGGTGGGGTGTGTGCAGACTGATACAGAGTGCAGATATGCGGGTGACACTCTGGGCCTCCCACCGTTCACCATTTGACAAGTGAATATGAGGGCATCTGAAGAAGACACAGGGGTCCATTGTTTGGGAAACAGTCACTCTGAAAACAGCCTGTCTAAACATATTCTCTTTAACAGCTGATCTAGCTCAGTCATTTGAATGTATATTCTCATATTTTTACTGGATATGTTAGGATGGTTTTGATTGTTAAAAAAAAAAATTCTTCATACTGGCTCTATTAAAGGGAAGAAATGTATTAGTTAGAAAAGTAAGGGTTTTAGTGTAGTAAAATTTTCAGTTCAGTAGATAGAGTCATGGTTCTGGTTCTGTACATGTCTGAAGCTTGCTGGAAGCTGCTGTTTGTCATGACTGCACAGTAGTCACCACGCCTGGTCGAAGTGACACACCATCCTGTTCGTGTCTGGCAGGAGCATTCGTGCCATCTTCCTGGGCACTCTGGAGCTTGCCTGCCTGCCCTGTGCCCCACAGCCACGGAGAGCTGTCCGGATCGCTGGCGGATTTGACCAGCTGTGGCTCTGTGACCCTTCCGCTCGTGTCAGTCAAGGTCTGCATGGTGCAGATGAGAGATGAGCCACTGGTCCTGAGTGTAGAGCAGGCAGTGTGTTCTAGGGCATGCTGTTCACCTTCTCAGTTAAGGGAGGAGTGAGGTGATTGCCATTTGTCTCTTCCTGCTGTCACAAAACACCTGGCCATTGGCTGCTCTAGTAAGCAGGACTGGCCCAATTAGGATCTACTCCTGAAACTAGAGATCAGGCCAGCCTGCCCTTAGCCGTAGTGGGATCTGAATAAGTTTTAGCTCAATTAGGAAGGAAGACGGGAAGTGTGTGTGACCTGGGTGTCTGATAGAAAGAACAAGAGAATACTGACAGTAGGCTATTTCTGCAGTGAGGTTTCTTTTCCACATCAAGAACCAGTTTTAGGGGCCTGGGATTTAGCTCAGTGGTTCCACTGCCTGCCTCACAAGCACAAGGACCCAAGTTCAATCCCTGGTACCACAAAAAAAAAAAAAGAACCAGTTTTAGTAAGCTAAGCTTATGTGGAATATAGGACTGAGAGAACTCTGTACTGTTCTTTTGCCTCTTCACGCTGGAGCACCTTGGTCTTGACCCTTGGGGATGTCTCTGTAAACCCCAGGAAGTAATGAGAGTCGTGCTCACTGCCACCTGTTATTTTACTTCTGTTTGTTTCTTCCTCTTCCAGTCTCTCTTAAATCCAACCCATTAGGCACGTTCTACAGATATTGCCGCAAAAATATACCAAGTTCAGCGACTTCTTACCTTCCTTGCTGCTGTTGCTCTAGTTGTGCTTCCAGTTTTGCCTCCCTGAGATCATTTTCTACACAGCAACCTGAGTGATCTTTTAAAAATGGAAATCTGATTATGCCAGTATCTTGCTTAAAAGTGTGTGTGTGTGTGTGTGTGTGCGCGCGTACATGTGCATGTTAAACAGCGTGCACAGTAAGGCCCAGATTTTTTATGATGGTCCTCAGAACTCTGCTTTTCTGGCTGTTGCCTACTCTCTCTGCTCTCTTCCTTCCTCACACGCTGAGATCTTACCATTTTGGCCTTTGTGTTCCTTGAATGTGCCAGGCTCTTTCCCATCTCAAGGCCTTCACACTCACCCTGTTCTCTACCTGAAGCAGTGCACCCTCCTTTCCTCGTCATTCTTCAGGTCTCCACTCAAACAGCATCTCTTCACTGAGGCTTTCATGACCACCCAGTCAAAATTGCACCCAAGCTGGCCTTGCTGCAGTCGTTCCTACCTGTACGACCCTGTTTGTTTTCTATAAAGCTCTTACCTGAAACTTGCTTTTTTGTTGTGTGTCTTCTCCTATTACAGTGAACTTGGGAGCTCATCCCTTGCCTTTCCTGTTCAGTGCTGTATTCCCCCAGCACCTTAAAACTGTGTCTGATACAAAGCGAATACTTAGTTACTCTATTTTCATTCCATGAATGAATGAATGACTGTGAAAGACTCACAAATCATCTCTAAATTTTACTTCTTGAGAGGTATAGAGATGATATGCTGCGTATATTGTCTTTATATCCTTGAAAGGAATTTTTGTGTTTTATTCCATCTGCTTACCAACTAACCAAGAATAATTCTTTGAATAGCAGTAATATGTTTGATCAAAGATTTGCTCTTTAGAAACTTGCAATACAGTTAGAAAGTTAAGAGAGTATACTGTGATTAAATGCTAATTTTGTAGTACATAATTCATTAGAAGACTAGAGGATTTATATCTTTATATACCATGTGACAAATTATTATTTTGGGTCTGTGTTTCTCTCTTGCTAAAGTGAACTCTTTAAGAACGAGGGCAATGTTTTATCTCAAACATTCAGAATAGAATATTATAGGTCTTACATAAATATGTATTTAATAGTTGAATGTGATTGAGTAATGTAAAAATGAACAAGCTTCGTATAAACAAATGAGTAGAGTTTACATGGCTGCTGAGAGCTGAGAAATACCCGGCTATCCAGGTTTGAGACTTGTACTGGTGATGCAAAAAGTGCAGGAGGGGAACATAAAAAGGTGACTAGAATCTGAGCCTTGGAATTGGAATGACAGGAAATAAGAAGGATAGGAACTATAAAAATAATGAGAAGAAAACATATCAGATGACATAACATCAAGTAGAACTGGAGAATGAGAGAACTAAGATGTGTCTGTTAAAGGTGGTTCTTGAGAGTGTTTAAAAGTATACCTTCTGAATAAAAATCTAGAATGGAGAAGAAAGAGATCTCCAGCTAGATCTCTTATGCGGCTGGGCCAGGAGGCAGAAAAGGTCAGGGCTCTGGAGAAAGACTAGCTGTTACCAAATCACACCTCTCAGCGTGTATATGTTGCAAGCTAGGAAAGGCTTACTTGAGAGAAGATGGGCAGAACTCAGTGAGGGGAGGTGTTGAAGCTGTTGACCATATAGAGAAGCTACTTTTCTGAGACCAAAAGGAAAGATGGAGGGATAAAGGTAGGCATGTGTTAAAAGACTGGGCCAGAGCAAATTCAGAATGCTTTTTTATTCCTAAGAGGAAGTTGGAGATAAGATCTTGCATTGAGACTGATAACAAGAGGTGTCAGGAAACAGTGAAATCTGAAACTGCTGCTGGTTGCAGCTTTAAAGGGACAGTGGAATTGGAGTGGATGAGTTTTTAGTTGGGATGGTTTGCACAGTCCAGGAGTCTTCAGTCTAAGAACAGAGACAGGAATGTGTGGAGGTTAGGCCACCGCTAGTGTATTCATCAACCCAGTTGAAACGGGGCTGGGAGCTAGCAAAACCCCAGGGGTCCGAATGAGGTGTATGTGCAAGAGGCCAGCCTGTGGACTATATGATACATCAGGTAGAAGGGTTCTCTTTCAGAGAAAGAAATAATTTATTTTTGGTAAATGTGAAAAGACCTGATTTGGTGAGATAAAATTAAAGTTATTTACAATTTACTTTTTAAAAAATGTTATTAGAGGTTTTCTGAACTTTAATACTCAGATGCACTAATGAGTTAATGTCAAAATGTTCAGTTTTATGTCTAGGTGAATTTGTACAGTAATGCCTTTTTTCTAAATTCTTAATTTACACACTTTTATATTTTTAATCATTTTATTTAAAATGAGAAGCATTTTCTAGGCATGTGTGCAGATAAATGGCAGAGTTAAGAAATTGCACAAAATTAAATACTATGACTTACTGTTTACTTTAAAGATACCAACTAATCTCTGTGACCTTACTACTACTTCTTCATCTCTTCTTTTTAAATAGACTGTTTGGATTGCATAAGAAAGTCATCAATATGGTGCACAATTTGCTGTCTAGTCACGACTCTGACCCGCGGTACTCTGACCCCCAGATCAAAGCTCGCGTGGCCATGTTGTATCTGCCTCTGATTGGCATCATCATGGAAACTGTGCCTCAGCTGCATGACTTTACAGGTACTTAGTGTAACTGGAGGCAGGTTTTAAAGCTTGTTGTCTACAGATGTTAAAAGTATCTCAAGGATAAAGATCTTATTTTAGGAAAGGACTCGGACACTGATAAAGTTAATTGTAAATATTTAGCCATATTACTGAAAACCTCTTTGGCTGTGTGAGGAACTTCAGTACAAGATTCCCACGCATTCTTTTATGAGTTTAACTGTGCCTTTTTTAAAAATACAAGAAAACTTAACAGGCATCTACTGTCTTCATTGTCAGTCATATATGTGTATAGTTGAAATTCAAATTCACCCACATGTCAAGAATTATGCTTAACTGCCAATACTAGGTTAGTAAATTGAAGTTATATTACTTCTTAAAAACTAGAACTTGGGCCGGGGATTTAGTTCAGTGGTTTCGCCGCCTGCTGCGCAAGCGCAAGGACCCGAGTTCGATCCCCGGTACCAAAAAATAACAAAACAAAAACTAGAACTCATGTTTTATTCCTTTTGTTTCAAATGTTTGGAATTTACTTAACTGTATGGGCTGGGGATTTAGCTCAGTGGTTCCACCACCTGCCTCGCAAGCCAAGGACTCGAGTTCGGTCCCCAGTACCGAAAAAAACAAACAAAAAAACCCCAAAATGAATTAACTGTGGAATTTAGGTTGCTAAAACGTTTTCAGTAAGGCAAATTAAGGAATTTAAACTAGCTAGTTATTAGCCTGATAAAGTACTTCTGTTCAATAAAATTAAACATATTTCCTGGTCCCTGGCATGCATTAGCACTTTAGCATGTGCCAGTGCTGCAGAGGTACCGGCCTTCAGGGAACGGAAGGGTGAGTATAGGTGAGTGTAGTCTTCGTGGGATTTTGGTTGCCAACATGGGCTTTTTTACCTGAAGGCAGAAATGTTATATCTATATTAAGTTAGTTTTCTACAAATTACAAATTATTACTGTAGAAATGAGTTAATGCTTGAAACATTTAAAAGAAGTAACCCTAATGATAAATATTACACTTGGGCCTCAAACAAAGTGTGTTTGAGCCACTTGGGTCCATTTATAGGCTTCTTTTTAGATTTGCAACCATTTGACAAAACAAACCCTATAACCTAGAAATTCAACAATATGTAAGGAAAAGTCAGGCGTCTTATGAATATGTGACATATATGTGGGTAATAGTCTGTTTTATCATTTGCGTCCATAAAATAGGCAGAAACCTATTATAAAAGTTAAAATTTATCAAATTTATGCACACAGACTGTACATGGTACTATCTGCATCAAGAGAACTATGGACAAACACAAAGACACAGTATTAACTAATCTCACCACTGGGGAGGCGGAACAGGAGGATTTCAAGTTTGAGGCCAGCCTGGGCAACTCAGTGAGATCCTGTGTCAAAACAAAAAGAAAAACCAATTTTACAAAAATGGCTGGGTTTGTAGCTCGTTGGTAGAGTGCCCCTGAGTTGGATCATCAGTACCATAGGAAGGATGGATAGATGAAAAATAAAAATGCAGTATGAAATAGTAACTGCATGAAATTAACTAGTACATATTGTACTACTGCAATAATTTTGTAGCTATGTCTTTTTGCTGGTACAGCGAGCCCAAGTGTTGTGAGTTCTGCGTGACACCAGTCACCTCAGCAGAGCAGTTCCTCTGGCTGGTAATGAGGTAGCCTAGTACAAGGTGGTCCCTCCTGGCTCTTGCCTGGTTTTCACTGCCTGTAATGCAGATAAAATACAGCATACACGTTACATAGCCATTGCTGTTATTGGTGAGGCTCCAGTCAGGAGCGAGCTATGAGTATGTAAGCTGTGGGGAGGCACAAAGTTTCACGTGGGTTTTGACTGCAGGCATTGCCCCCCACCTCAGGGTTGTTCAAGGGCTGGCTATAGGTGCTAAGTTTTTGTTTTAAAGAATAATGAGGGCTAGGAAGAGGAATTGTGGGCTCAACAACTGTTAGTTGAGCTAAATAATTTTGTTTCTTTTTTCCCTTCAGAAACTCACAATCAACGTGGAAGACCGATTTGCACCACTACCGAGGACTATGAAAGTGAGAGTGGAAGCATGATTAGCCAGACGGTTGCCATGGCGATTGCAGGGACCTCAGTGCCTCAGCTGACAAGACCTGGCAGTTTCCTCCTCACACCCACGGTAAAATAGTCCTCCTACGAACTTTTTTCTGGAAAGACAAATATTTACAGGGAATTGTCCTTAAATAACTATTAGCTGATGCAAAAGTGCTCTGAGCTTTTATTAGTATATGGAAACATAAACATCCCCAGAAAATTACCTCTCTTGTACAAAGTTGTTTTAAAAACTATTACCTCAAGTTTTTATGGGATGCAGCCCTGTATTATGTCATACGGAATTTTGAAAATGACCCTATTTCATTTTTTAAATTCATTTTATACATTATCAGCCTGAAATATTCTCAGCTTGGCAATTGAGAGCATTTCTTATTTTGTGAAGGTTTATTTTATTTCATGTTTTACAAATTGATGATGTGGCCTTGCACTTTTTGTCCCTTAAAGGGGGAAAGAGACGGGAAAGGAAGCAGACTGTCAGTAGAGCCAAGTTCATGTTCTACATATTTTTAAAAACTCTTTTAGAAAAATACACTAATATTTTATGGAAGCTACTGTGCTTGGCAACTTTTTATAGGTGTATTATTTATATAATTTTAAATTCACCTATTTTAAGTGTACAGTATAGTGGCTTTTAGGATAGTTACAGAGTTGCATAGCCATCACGACAAGGTGATTTAAGAATATTTTCATCATTCTAAAAAGAACCTTTATGTCTAGCTACTCCCCATTTCTTCCCAACCCCAACATTAGACTTCGACTAACCTACTTAGGGTTGTCTATTCTGGACGTTTCATGTATATGAAATTATACCATGTGATCTTGTGTGCCTAACTTCTTTCGTCAAGCAGAGTGTTTTGAAGTTCACCTGTCCCTGTTGTAGCTTGCAGCAGTGTACCAATTATCTTGACACACTAAAACTATCCATTTGTCAGATGACCAACATTTGGGTTGTTTCCACTTTGTGGTTATAGGAATAACGCCACGGAGAACATTTATGTGTAAATCCTGTGTGCACCTGTTTTCAACTCTGCTAGGTATCTACCATACCCCGAGCCCTAACTTGGGGCGCCACCTGTAGCCAACCCACCCACCGGCCTTGCTGAGAGACCTAGAGCCGCTACTGTGTTCTGCCTGCCTGGGGGTGAGCAGCAAGAATGGCAGAGACACGGAGTCAGCCCAACATGCAGGCACCTGGGGGCTCTCGCCTCTAGAGGAGCCCTGCCCATCTGGCTCATCTCACCTTTATTCACCCAGACACGGGCACAAGCAATCAAAGTAACACGAGATTCATCTGCTTTCCACTGTTCATTAGTGCGTACTCTGGTAACAACTTAACCCCGGCTGTCTGAACTTGCCCTAGAGCCTGCGATAGGCAGTCACCCCTGAGTGCAGTGTTTCTCCTTTGTGCTCACAGAGGAGGCCAGTTGGGCCTCAGTTCTCCTCTGGTCTCCTACAATCTACAAGTAAATTTGCTGGTCATGTGGTATCTCTATGTTTAACATTTTAAGAAAGTTTTGAAGTTTTTTTTCTTCCCAGTGTGGCTGTACCACTTTTCATTCTTTCAAGCAATGAACATTCCTAGTCTCCCTGTCCTTGCCACCCTTGCTAACTGTCTTCTTGGTTGTAGCCATGTTTAGAGGGTGCAAAGTGGTGTCTCACTGCTATTTTGATTTGCATTTCCCTAAGGATCTGATATTGTTACTTATGCATCTTTTCATGTGCTCATTGGCACATCTTTCTGTATTCGGAGAAAAGTCTCTTCCAATCCTTTGTTGTTTTTAATTGTGTTATTTGTCTTGTCTTTGAATTGGATACAAACCCCTTATCAGATATGTTATTTGCAAATACATTCTCCCTTTATATGGAGTATCTTTTCTTGATGGTGTTATTTGAAGCACAAAAGTTTCACTCTTGCAGAAATTTTTAAAAATTGAGCCAGTTGTGGTAGCGCACACCTGTAATCTCAGCACTCTGGAGAGTGAGGCACTAGGATTGTGAGTTTGAGGTCCATCTGGGCTACATAGCAAGACGTTGTCTCAGAAAAACAAAAAAGAAATCTATTAAAATTGATAAGATGTTAATTTTCTATCTTATCAGCTTCGTGCAGCTGCTTCCAGAGGATAAGCCGTGGTTGCTGCTGCTGTAAAAGCCCTGGAATTTGCAGCATAACAGGGCTACCTGCGCCTTTCCAAACATGATTCCTAACTCTGAAACCAAGAGTCAGCACAGCATATGGCGTTTGTAGACAAGTCTACAGCAATCCAATTCACTAATCATTTTCTACATGACAGTAAAAGGCTAAATTCTTTTCAAGGATATAGGTTGGATTGGTACAGTTACATATATCGAGGTGCAAAAGTTTTTAATTTTAATTAATTACAACTTGTCAGTTTTTCTTTTATGAGTTGTGCTTTTGGTGCTATTTTGCATATAAAAATATATGAGGTACGTAGACAAAACAACAATAGAAGAAACAGCAGTGTACCCACTCCCCAGTCTGCGAAATAAAACATTGCAAATACCTTTGCAGTTCCTAGTCTGGCCCCCTCGGTTCTATCCCTCTCTCCCCTCAAAATGACTACTATACCCAATTTTATTGCCTTTTTCATTTAAAAAAATCTTTCCTGGGCCAGGGATTTAGCTCAGCAGCACAGTGCCTGCCTAACAAGTGTGAGGTCCCAAGTTCGATCCCCCTGTACAAAAAATCTTACGTGAAATATGCTACCTATGGAAAAGTACATGAAACATCAGTGAGCACGTTTCCAAAGCATGAAGAACCTTTGCGTACCTTTGTGATGAGCATTCTGTCAAGCGAGAGTTCCCTTCACATGCTCTCTTCCAGCCGCAGTCCCCTGGAGGCTGCCCGTCTCCCAACAAAGGAAATCGTTACTTCACTTTGTTTATAGGTTGTTTGTATCCCTAAATTCCAGAGTTTGGCTTTACATTATGTTTCTAATACTCAATCTGTGTCATAAATAGCTACAATTCCCTGATGTTCATTTATGTCTGATATTTAATTGTCTGTCTCTAGATATTTGATAAATGCATTCTGTGATACGTACGTGATACTTGGTTACTACTAAAACATTTTCTTTTGTATCTGTCCTGTGTGCATGTTTTAGTATTTAGAGCATTTCCTAGAAATGGAATTGAGGGATAGAGTCTGTGTATCTCCATCTGTACCAGATTATGCCCATCTATTTTCCAAAGCTTTGTTTCAGTTTATACTTGTACAGTTTATACAGTATGAGAGTTTGCATTCCTTGCCATGCTCATAAGTACTTAAAATTGTCAGACTTCTAATTTTTGGCAATCTAATAACTTACAGTTGTATCTCAGTTTTCTTTTTCCCGGTGGTTTATGAGGTTTATTTTTTCCATATGGATGTTGGCATTTAGATTTTCTTTTTAAAAGTATGTAAAGTTTTTCTGTTTTCCGCTGGGTTGTCTGTCTCTGTCTAGTGATTTGCATAAGTTTGTGTGTTCTGGGAGAGGCCGCTGATGATTGTGATTCACATAGTGCTCTGTGGCTGACTCTCATACAATACACACTTAGTGTTGAATTTAGTGATTAGACTACCTAATTTTAAAATGCATAAAATTTGTCTGAGTATTTTGTGTACCTTAAGAACTTTTTTCCTATTTCAAAATTTTGAAAATAGTCTGCTGTGTTATTTTTTAAATGCTTTTTTTTTTTTTCCTTTTACATGTAATTCTAAAAACTACTTGGAAGTGATTTTTGTGTGTGTGTACAGTGTAATTTGGGGGATCCAGATCCACTTAATTATTTTGTATGTTATACCAAATTATCTCAACACCATTTACTAAAAGCATTTTTTGCTGCTCTGAAGTACTGCCCCTACATGGTCTACCATGCGCAGAAAGTCCATATACATTTTTAAAAGGATTGTCAGCTACTTTTTCACCCTTATGTATTTCTACAGATTTTTGGATTTTTTAAATTGTATTTTTATTAGTCTGTGTTTGCACTGCATAATGTTTGCATTCTTTTAATGGAGTTGGTGCATGTACGTAACACATCTTAGTTCCATCCTTCATTCCCTGCCCTCCCTCCCTTTCCCTCTCTTGATCCGTTTCCCACTTGAGAAAGATCTCTCTCCTTACTTCTTCTTATCTTTTATTTTGCTTTTTCTTTTTACTTTGGGTTTCTCATGTGATATTTAAGCTTGTGTGTCTAAATTACTTCACTTAACAGTATGGTCTCAAAGTTCATCCATTTTCCGACAAATGACTCAAGTTTTTCTTCATGGCAGAATAGTACTTCATTGTGTGTAAAGACCACATTTTCTTTATCCGTTCATCGGTTGATGGGCATATAAGCCACTTCCAAGATTTAGCTATTTTGAATTGTGCTGCTGTAAACATGGGTGTACTCGTCACTGTAATATGATGCCTTTAATCTCCACACTGATTTCCTTAGTGGTTGTACCAGCTTAATTCCCACAAACGATGCAGAAGGGCTCCTTTTGCCCCAGAGCCTCTCCAGCATAGCTTGTAAAGTTTCACTGAAACACAAAATCAAATCAATAGATAAAACACCCCTATTGTGGAAATGCCCTTCTCTTTCCTAGTTTACAAAGACTGTTGTTTTTTGCTGTTTTCTTTGCAGTACTGGGTATCAAGCTAGGTCTCATGCATGCTAGACAAGTGCTCTCCACTAAACTACGTGCCAAGCTAAGAGGTGTTGTTTTAATTTCTTTTGTTTTGTTTTTGTGAGATTCGGGATTGGGCCCAGGGAGCACCAAGCTAGATTCCCAGCCAGTTTTATTTTTTGTTTTGAAGCAGGGTCTCACTAAGTTGCCCAAGCTAGGCTTGAACTTGTTATTCTTCCGCCCCAGCCTCTCGATTCAGCTGGGATTCAGGTGTGAACCACCACACCCAGCAAATTTTGTTTTTTAATCATGAATAGTTGTTGACTTTTATTAAAAAACTTTTCTTTTGGGGCCGGGGATTTAGCTCAGTGGTTTCACCGCCTGCTGCGCAAGCGCAAGGACCCACGTTCAATCCCCGGCACCAAAAAAAAAAATTTTTTTTTTCTTTTATTCACTGATATGGTCATATTTTGCTTTTTAATCTATTAATGTTTCTGGGTTAAGTTGATTTTCTGTTCTTAAGGCAACTTTGAAATTCTGAATTAAATTCAGCTTTGTAATGATTGTATATTGGTGTATTTGGTTTGCTAATATTTTGTTTTGTATTGTATATTTATGTTCATAATAAAAATTGCCTGTAATTTCTTTCTCATGATGTTCTTCTAAGGTTTGAGAATCAAATTTAAGACAGCAAATTAACATAAGTTTCATCTTTTATTCTGTTTTTTTGCCAGTTCTTGTTTAAGATTAGAATTATTTCTTCCTGAAATATTTGGGGAACTTGTGGGTGAAACCATCTGTGCCTGAACTTTTTTGGTTTTGGTTTCTTTGAAAGTTTTAAAATTACTGTGCTCACTTCAACAGCACATAAAATCAAATTGGAATGACACACAAAAGATAAGCATGGCCCCCGCTCAAGGCTGACTCACAAGTCTTTAAATTACTGATTTAATTTCTTCTGAGGCTGTAAGACTACTCTTTTTTGTAAATTTTATTCTAATGGAAATTTATTCAAATTTATTGGCATATTTATTCAAATTTAATGTCTGTATTTTCCGTAGTAGATATAAACTTTATCATTTCTGACTAGCCTTTGTACCTTTCCTTCTCTTCATTTTCACATCAGAAATTACTCTTTATAAAATACCAATTTGGGGCACTATTGATTCTCACTTTTAAAATGTTTATTATTTATTATATTCTTGCTTGTTTGGGTTTACAGTGATGATCTTTTTCTAACTTCTTGAGACTGATGCTTAACTCAGTTTTCATCCTTTCTTTGCTAAGTATTTTAAGCCTGTATATTTTGCCTTAATTCTTAAATACCACAGTTTGGTGTGTGGTTTACATCTTAAAATTTTTCTTTAATTATTGTTTTAGTTATATGCCACAGTTTGTGCATAGCATTTTCATTATTTAGTTCAGATTATCTTTAAAGTATTACGATTTCAAGTTCGATTTTTTGGATATTTAAGAAGTTGCTTTTCTTTTTAAATTTCTAGTCATAAAAATTTCTGATTTACTTTAATTATGATTTTAGCATGATCAGAGAACTTACCTCTGATTTCAGTTTGTTGAATTCTTAGCAACTGGCTTTATGTCTGTTATGAATAAATATCTCAATGATCAATATGGATGGATATTTTTAGGCTTAGTAACACTGTGCTAGATATGTGTCTTTTATCCTTATTTAAATCATCTTAGCCTTCTCTAAGTTTTGTCTACTTATTCTTACTACATTCCCTCTACAAATGGGGTTTTGTTATTTCTCCAGGTCATTGTATCAGAGTTTGTATCCTTTTGTGACCTGATTATAAAATATGTATTTCTTTCTTTCTTTTTTTTTTTTTTTTTTTGTACCAGGGATCGAACTCAGGACCTTGCGGTTTGGAGGTAGGCGTGGTGCCACTGAGCTAAATCCTCAGCCCTATAAAATATGTATTGTATATATGTATCGTATTCTTTTTTGGGGGGGGTTTACATTAATGTTCTTTTTATAACTTCTTGAGATTGATGCTTAACTCAATTTAAAGTGTTATATATTTTTGGTAGTTTGCACCATTTATCAACATAAATTATAGAGCTATTTTTAAAATGAATATAGCTACTGTAACTTTCTTTTGCCTAGTAACATATAATATAACTTCATTCCTCCTTTCCCTTCTAATATATTTATATGCTTATGTTTTAGATGTGTCTTTTATAAACAGTATATAGTTAGAGTTTGTCTTATGTTTTAAAATCTCACCTTGTTTTTTCCTTTCAGTAGAGTTTTAATTCATTCCATATTTAGTATAATTTTAATGTACTTAACATTTCATATTTAACTTTAAATTGTCTCACCTATATGTTTCTTATTGTCTTATTTATTAACTTTTAGATTATTTTTCTTCATTCTATCCTTTCCTCATTCTGTTTGTTCTTCCTTACTAGTTTGAAAGTTGTACAATTTGTTTCTATTCTTTTTGTGGTTACATTAGAAATTACAATATGCTTCTTTAAATTATCAAATCTAATGCTAATCATATCTTTACTTTCATGTTGGTTAATGGTAAGATTTTATAACAAGTTGGCTTTACCTCCCAATTTACACATGATTCTCAAGCATTTTTACTTGTATATTTTATTAAACTCCAAAAGGAATTATTATTGTTATTATTTTTACTTTGTCTATATAGAACCAGTTATCATTTAAATGTCCCTCTGTGTTCACAACTTTTGCTCTTTGTTTTTCTCCTTTATGAAACATGTCCTTTAGAATTTTCTATACTACAAGTTTGGCTGTGGTGAACTCTCCTCGTACTTATTATAAATGCATCTATTTGGCTTTCATTCTTTCAGATATTTTAGATAGAGTCTGAGTTTCCTGGGTTCTTTTTCAAGCTGAGGACATACTCCCACTGTGTTTTCATTTCCGTTGCAGCTCTGTGATAAGTCAGCTGTGACCTAATCTTTGTTTCTTTGAAGATAATCTTTTTTCTTTGCTTTACTACATTAGGATTGTTTTCTGTAGTTTTACTCCTGAGTCTAGTATTCATATTTATTCTGTGTTGTACTTTAAATCTATCCACTTGTCTTTTGTATTAGTATTATGAAATTCTCAGCTGTTATCTGCCCCCCAATATCCTTTCTCCATTCTCTCTTTTCTCTTTTTGTATTCCAGATAAGCATATGTCAGTCCTTTCTGTTAAACCCTCCAGCTCTCTTTCTTCTGCAGACTTGTCCTTTTTTTTTTTTTTTTTTAGCAGTCTAGAGGATGGAACCACTGGTGCTCTTCCCTGAGCTATACACTTAATTTCTTTTATTCTGAGACAGACTCTTGCTAAGTTTCCCAGGCTGGCCGTCAACTTGTAGTCCCCCTGCCTGGGCCTCATGAGTAGCTGGGATTATAAACACATGCTGCCACACCTGGCTGGATAATCCATCTCTTTGTTAACAAGTGCTTCAGGTAGATTGTTTCTTTTTATCTGTCTTCTTTGATCTCATTCTCTCCTTAGCTATACCTGATGCTACATTAATCTAAAACATTGAGTTCTTACTTTGATTGTTCTTTGTTTTTTAATTTTCTAAGTTTTGTTTCTTCTATTTAAAATAAAACTCACGTTTGTTTGAGTTACCTACTTCAACATTACCCAAACCGAAGTTCCTCCTTGCTTTTCTTACAGATTTGCCATTTATGTATAGTTTCTTTTTCTTTGTTTTCCTTTTGTTCTAATTAGGAATTGATCCCAGGGCCTTTGCACTGTTACATGCCAAGCCTCCCCCCCACTTTTTTGAGATAGGGTCTTACTAGGTTGCCCAGGTTGGACTTGAACTTGGGATTTGTGATCTTCCTGCTTCAGCCTCCCAGAGTACTGGGATTGCAGGTATTCACCACCATGCCCAGTTTATGTGGTTTCTTTATTATTTCATTTCTGTTACAGTTCAGGTGAAGCTCTAAAGGAAAGAGCTTATTTAGCTCCCAGTTTGGGATCCTGAAAGTCCAAGGTCAGGCAGCTCCATGGATTTGACCTCTCTTGAGGCCCATGGGCTGAGGCTTATGAAGATGGCCTCATGAGAAGCATGTGCAGAGGGAAAGCAGGTTGGGGCCTCCTGCTAGGCCCCGCCTCTTAAAGGGCCCACTGCCTCCCTGAGGTTGCCCCCTGGGACCAGGCTTCCAACACAGAGCTTGGGAGCTCCAACACCACACTGAACCCATAGCAATATTCCAGACAGCTTAGTTCATCTTCATGCACTTTTAATCTTTTTATGACTATACCGTGAATGCTTCTGTGGCTTCACATTCTTGATCGCCATATATTTATAAGAGGGATTCGTGTTGATTTGTATCACTGCAGTCTGTAATGTCAGAGCAATCCATTATAGGAAAGTAGCATATGTTATTTGTTTGTGGTATTTGAATTTTTTGACTGGTATAACAAAACGTCATAAATATTTGTGTACATCACTCTGTGAAAGAATTTTACTAGGCTATACACCTGGGAGTGGAATTTCTGGGCCAGAGGATATTCAGGTGTTCGGTTTTCACTGGTAACCACTTTTCATGGGCCCAACAATGGATATATATTTGTTCTTTCATATTCTTGCTAATTCTTGGTACTGTATGCACTGCTGGAGAGATTTATAAGAAGCAGTGAGATGGAAGACTAAAGTGGTGATGTGAGAGGAGGGATCTGAGATGTGGAGAAACAGGCCTTGCTGTAATAAACAGGTTGGACTGCAAGGGTAAGCGTGTGTAATAGTTGGTACTTTTAATAATTGGGAGAGCTGTTTAGGAACTAAAGAAAACCAGGCTATTTAGAGAATCACATATATGAGCATTGAAATCATTAAAGGCTTTGACAAAAAGTAGGCTTGAAATTACTGAGAATGAGTTGGCTGAAAGCTTCAAAATAGAAAGGCTAGTTGTCTGGGGACTGGTGTGTAACAGTGATGCTGAGCAGGGGAGGGCCAGTGAGAGGTGCTGTCCGGAGGGGAAGTGTGTTGGGGAGCAGGGAGGAGCAAGGTGCTTTCTCCTGCCCTACCTCCAGGCCGAAGGCAGGTTTTCAGCTAGGACAGGATCAAAGGAATGTCTGGAGAAGGTACTGAACGGGTACACAGGTTTTGGGTTTGTTTTTGAAGACTGAGCATGTGTTCCAGAGGTCATGGAAGAATTTCAGGAGACGTAGCAGAAGTGAGTGACAGATGAGGTGAGAAGAGAAGGCTTCTGATGGTGAGGTTTGTCAGGTGGGAGAGAGAGCAGAGTGAGACACACCCTGGTGGTCTGCAGGCAGCTGACTTAAAAACTAAAGCTGTGGCTGTCAGTGCTGAGGGAGAGCTATGCGTCCAGCCTGGGAGGCAGAGAGCACTGCCACTTCTTCCTCACTCTGGTTAGACTTTTGTGAAGGAGTTGTTTTCTACAGAAAATTCCGAATTAACCACTGTGACAGATATTGTGGGTGATAAATCCACCTCCATAGACCTAAATTCTCCATCCTTGGGAGAATGGGAAACAGTCCTTTGACTCGTTTCTTACAGGGCTTCATTCTCCATGGAGCCCTGGGTAAGAAAGACTGCTCCAGAAGTTGATCTCAGGTTGGCTTTCAGCGTGGCAGACACTGATTGATGGTATGCCTCTCCATTGTAATCCCTGGAACGAATGCACATTCTCTCTTTTAACGTAGGCAGATATGACCATCTTTCTGTGTTTTATGGTGTCTCAGATGTCCTCTTCTACCCCTAAATCATAAAATAGTCCCTTATATTTTGTCCTAAAAGATTTAAAGTTTTGACTTTTTTATTTTTGTCTGGAATTTAGTTTTTGTGGCATGGTGCAAAGTAGGAATGTACTTATTTTTTCTGTAGGGAATCACTTATCTCAGCACCACTCATCAAACAGCTCACCCTCTCACCTCTGAGCCACAGTGTCAGCCCATCGTAGATCTCATTTCCAGATGCACCGTGGTCTTTTTTGTGCTCTCTTCTGTCCCACTAAACTGTCTCCCCATGTGGCAAAGTCATGCTGTCCTCATCATTCTAGTTTTTTAGCAATGTGTTGCTTGCTATGTGGTAGCATGCCGCGTGGTTCTTCCACAAGAGTGTCTTGGCTATTCTTGGCCCTTCGCTTTGCCATTAAATTTTAAAAATCAGTTTATCAAACTTCCAAGAAATCCCTGACTAGAATTTTGATTGGAATTGCATTGATCCTGTGGAACATTTTGGAGAAAAACGAACATCTTTTCACAATGGAGTTTTTTTCCTGTTTGTTCGACTTCCTTCCAAATATATCACTTGGTTTTGGCAGTTTCTGTGGAGTATAAGAAATGTGTGTGTGTGTGTGTGTGTGTGTGTGCCTGTTTGTCAGTTTCAGAATAATTTTTCTATTGTATTTCTAAGTACTTGAAAATCCAGTGTATTTATGCATACCTGATAGAAAGTGCCTTTTAGCTATAGAAAGTGCCTGTATTTAAAACAAAGGAGCATTTCCCGTATGAGAAAGACTGTGGATTTAGGAGTAAGGGTCGAAGTTGCCCGTGCCCGATCAGTGGAGGTGCACCACAGTGGTTAAGCGTCCGCTGCTCTGTGTGTGAACACAGGAGCGGCAGTAGGCAGAGTGCTGAGGGTCTTGGTCTCTGGAGCCACCTTCAGTGTTTGAGTCCCAGCCCCACCATTTACTACAAACCACTTCTGCTGGCTCAGTTTCCTTGCTGTAGGGTGGGATAAATAAACTAATGTGCACAGTGTTGAGAGCACCACCTCCCCCAGAGCAGGCCTTGGGTTAGCACCAGCTGCTGCTGCTGTCATCGTCTGGGACAGGGTGACGACTGAGGAGTCCATCAAAGAGCAGAGCAGCCTCGGTGTCGAGCAAGTTCATCTTCCTGTGACTTCCTGTCGGTCTCCTCTCCTGTGGTTTCTTGTTATTATTCAGAAATGTCTGAGGAACATAGGCTTTGGAGCTTGGATAACCTGGCCTAACACCCCACCGGCTATTAGGGTGTGACTTAGGGGATATTACTTTGTCACTAGCCTTCAGTTATGTACCTGTAAAACTAGAAATAATAATAGTTGATATGATTTCATAGACTGTGAGGGTTAAGGAAAAGTAATCACTATCTAGCTACTTTTTATCATCATCATCATTACTGCTACTGTCATTCTGTGTTCTTGTCTGTAAATCTGAGATGATGCAACCTGCACGATAATACTGTTGGAGGACTAAGTTACATAGCGTGTGTGAAGTGCTTTTATGATGACCAGGGCAGAGTTAAATGTCCAGTTGGTGATTCTGTAAACAAGTCCTTGTCTTTAATTTTTCATTTATATTTCACACACTGTATACTAATGCAGAATGAAGGCTGAACAGCATTTCTGTGACCTAAGACTTTCTCCTCATGTCTGTGCCCTGAGATAAGCCTGAGGAATGCCGTTTTGTTCCTGTTTCCTGATTTTGCTCCACTCCTACTCTTAGTTGCTCTTTTTTTTTTTCTGGTACCTGAGATCAAACTCGGGTCCTTGCACTTGGGAGGCAGGCGGCGGAACCACTGAGCTAAGTCCCCAGCCCTCTCTTTTTCTTTATTTTCATCATGTCTGATATTCCATGTACATTCTTTTCAGTATTTAATGTCTTCAGTATGAGCATTTATTTATTCTCTGCTGGCAATCTTCTTTGTTTAATCATCAATTAAACATACTTTTCCTGTCAGAAGAATCTTATTGAACTCCAAGCCTTAACTACAAAATTCTGTGTGGCTGTTTGATACAAATGTTATCTAAAACAAATAGTTCTTTTAAAGCATCTTAAAGAATTTTCATTTTATTGTCTTTAGAAGAAAACACTTGCCAACCAACAAAACAAATAATTGGTTGGTCTCATTCTACGGTTTTCTCTTTGCAGACTGGCAGACAACACACTACCTTTTCGGCAGAATCAAGTCGGAGCCTTTTGATTTGTCTACTTTGGGTTCTCAAGAATGCAGATGAGACGGTTCTACAGAAGTGGTTCACAGATCTCTCAGTCTTACAGCTAAACCGGCTCTTAGACCTTCTCTATCTCTGTGTATCTTGTTTTGAGTACAAAGTAAGTGGCCACGATACCATTGCAGAGGAATGAGAAGTAATGTGGAGAAGGAAGAAGAAAATGTTCTCAATGCCTCTTGTAATGCTTCAATTTTAGGGGAAAAAAGTATTTGAAAGAATGAACAGTTTGACCTTCAAGAAGTCAAAAGACATGAGAGCAAAACTGGAAGAAGCCATTCTTGGGAGCATAGGTGCCAGGCAGGAAATGGTGCGCCGCAGCCGAGGCCAGCTCGGTACGTGCACAGCCTGCCCTCTGCGGGGACCACGGTGGTTTCCTTGGATTATGTATTAAAATCATCACTGTGGCAAGCCTTGCAGGACAATTCTGTTTTACTTTTAAATGTCCTTTTGAGTTAACTTGAATAGTTAATTTCTCTGCGATTCTGATTTAAGTTGGGCGAACTTCCCAGGAATCTCCCTTTATTATGCCTGTTGCCTGTGATTATTAATGGCCTCACTTCCCACTCCTTTTTTAAAATAGACTTTTGGGGAACAGTTTTAGATTCACAGCAAAATTGAGCCTAAGATATGGAGATTTCCCTATAGAGATGCCCCTACCCAGACACACACGTAGCTTCTGACCTGTCCTCCCCAGCCCATAGGGCCCGTCTGCATGGAGCCTCCTTTCACTGTGACAGCGCTCCGGGCTGCACAGTGAGTCAGAGATGGAAATGCTGCCCTGTGAGCCCTGTGGGGAAGGGCCGGCTCACAAGGGAGCAAGCAAGTTGGCCTCGGTAGTAGCTAGGCCTGCTTCTAAACCCAGGTCTGCTCCCATTAGCCTGGAAGTCCTTATTCTCCCACCTTCTGCTTCCTGGTCTGCTTGTGACTGTTTCAAGACTTTAGGAGACAGTGTAATTAACTGATCTCATCAGCTTTGTAATGGTCATGTACATAGCATGATTGAAAAATAGTGAATGTTTAAATTTTTGAAAAGCATCACAGTAAAAGATACTTTGCCATTAATCCCCCTCCAGATTCTCCCCCTCGCCTTGGACACTTTTGTCCCGTTGCTCTTACCACTTTCTGAGGCAGGCCTGGGAGTCTTTTTTCCTGAGTTTGTTTAGTTTTGCTGTTGTGGCTGCCTCGATGTCCTGAATCAATTCAGCACATTTACCTTTCATTGTCATTTTGACATGGAAATGGGGAAAAACCAGTAGTCGAATGGTGCCAGATCAGATGAATAAGGTGGATGAGGGCACTGTCGTGTTTTTACGTGCTGCTTTTCCTTTGGATAGCACCTGGAAGCCACTAACCATATTTTTTATCACACCTGTAAAGACTCAGGAAAGACTTCCAGAACTGCTTCAGAAAATGGCAGTGATGAAGGGATGAGTTTGTTTGAAGTGAGGGTGAAGATTTTGAGTGGGATTAATGACTGTATCTTTTACTGTGATAAATTTTTTAAATGTAGGGATTTACTGTATATTTTTATCACTCCTTGTATGTGAAAATGTGTAAATTCTAAAATGACACACAAATATCGTGACTAAGAGTTGCTTAGCATTGGTCATCTGACAGTGAACATTTAGGTTAGGTGCAACCCTGAGATCTCATCCACTCTGGAGGCTGAGCCAGGAGAAGGGCCACATTCAAGGTCAGCCTGGGCAGCTTGGCTAGATCCTGTCACTCAGTCGATCAGTGCACACGTACATGCAGCTGGAGGTATAGCTCAGTAGCAGAGTGTGCCTAGCTTGTGGCTAGCATTCATGAGGCCCAGGATTCCATTCCCAGCACCCTCTACTCCAAAATAAAAATACTGTATGATCTAGCAATTCTGTGTCTGAGTATGGTCCAAAAGGAATGAAAATAGGTGTTCCAATGGATACTTGTACATTGTATCTGGCTTCAACATTCATACTTTCTTAAAGAATTATACATAATATATAAATTAAAAGAAAACTCGGGTACATTGTAAACGGTATATAACTAAAGTGAAAAATGGTGTTTTTAATTCCTTCTTAGGCAAAGACTATGTCTATTTCATTCCAAATACAGCCTGTACAAAGTACTTTAATAAATGATCACTGTGCTAATCAGAAAACTATAATTGAAAAATATTTATCCACACAAACATTCACACGTGACTCCTGTGTGCAGTGCTGGGGACTGAGCCCAGGGCTCACAAAGGCTCACAAAGCCGCCTCTCCAGCACTTTTATTTTTGTTTTATTTTATTTTTTGAGACAGGGTCTCTTTAAGTTGCCAAGCTGCCCACACTGGCAAGTTGTGTATAACCTCTAAAAAGAGTATGAAAATTAACATTTGCTTAGGTCATTTAATTATCAAAACTTAATGAATAATTATATTTCTTTTAGAGTAAGAAAGTAGAACTGCCTGAGATCGCAGGCTGAAGGAAAGAAGCAAAATCTCTGGGCTGCTAGTTCAGTGCCCTTCATCTCACACCACCACGCTTTCTGAGGCTTGTTTCTAGAGGAAATGGGACTGTTAGCTATTGTAATGTAAACTGTGTCATCATATATGTTACCTTTCTAAACCTGTGGGCCTCAGGACCACCATCCTTTTTTGAATGTAAAATTGGAAGTTCTTTCTGTCTTAGAAAAATCAGGCCTTTATACTTCTTATAGACATTTGGTCATGAGGCACTTTTAACTCAGGAAATGAAAACTAACTTTCTAGAGAAAAAAGCAAATGATAGAAAAAATAGATTAAAACATTTATCTTAATAAATATTAGTAAATATCTTAATAGAAGCATGAGATTTTGGGGCTGGGGATTTAGCTCAGTGGTTCCAGTGCCTGCCTTGCCAAGTGCAAGGTCCTGAGTTCGATCCCTGGTACCAAAAAAAAAAAGAAGTATGAGATTTTGTTTTCTGAAATAGAATTTTTCCAAAAACTTCAAAATAAAAAAGAAGGAAAGAATGGAAAGGGAAAGAAAATAGAAGTACACAGACATGTCCTTTGTTGTGTGACAAGTGACCATGTTACTTAGTGTTTTTTATTTCCATTTGAGTGCTGCATTTTTGCTTTCGTTATTCTTTTATCCTCCCAAGTAATTTGACATCTTATTTCTTTTTTCAAAAAGGAGCATTAATTTTCTAGTTGAAAGCTTGGCACCTGACTGACTCCCTTGTTGAAGTGTATGTCTCTGTTCCTCCACAGTTCTCAGTGGCTGAGATGTTTCACTTCCCCTTCCTTAAAGAAGCGCATTCCAATCTGTCGCCCCCAAACCTAGAAACTTCTCAAGAGAAATCCTTTTTCTTCCTCTTTTCCTTCCATATGCAGACAAAGGAAAGAATTCCTTTAAGAATCCTTCCTATTTTGTTAATTTAGTGAACAAAAGCTTATTGAGCACTCAGTATGTGGCAGAAAGTTTATTGGCCTGGGCATAAAGTGCTCCACAAAATAGACGTCATTTCTGTCTTGCTTCTTTAAAAGGGTTTTTTTTTCAAGAAATGTCCCATGTAGTAAATACATTTTTTTCTGTAATGACTGTGAAAATATAAATAGAAACCGACATTGTCAGGTTTTCCCACTTGTGCAAAGGATAAAATGACTGTGTAAAATTAATGCCATGTATGTTTGCAAATACACATGTGTGTGGTCTAAATGAAATGACATTTTAGAATTGGTTTTGAAATTTGCTTGACAGAGAGGAGCCCATCTGGCAGTGCCTTTGGAAGCCAAGAAAATCTGAGATGGAGAAAGGACATGACTCACTGGCGTCAGAACACAGAGAGGCTTGACAAGTAATAGAACCAATTTTATGTTTCTTATGGGCTTGTTTAACTTCAAAATGCAACAGGAAACCTGTAGTTTTATTTTATATTTATTAGACTTTAAAATCTTAGGAGATAGAATATTTAGGGCTGAGATGTGGCTCATTGGAGACCACTTGCCTAGCATGCACAAGTCCTGATTTCTTCCCCCCGCACTGCCAAAAAGAAAAAAGAAGACAAAATACTTATATTTAGCCAGGCATGGTGGCACACGCCTGTAATCCAGGCACTTGGGAGGCTGAGGCAGGAAGATTGCTGCAAGTTTGAAACCAGCCTGGACTACATAGTGAATTCGCAGCCAGCCTGAACTCCACAGCGAGACCCTGTCTCAAAACAAACAAAAAAAATTATATTTAGTTGTATTCATTTTAGGTTAAAATATTTGAAAGAAAAAATTTTCATGTGGCCTAGTAAAGCTAAATGTCTTATATATTTTATTTTTTTTGTTAGTTTTTGTTTTTGGTACTTGGGACCTTGCGCTTGTGAGGCAGGCAGCAGAATCCCCACTGAGCTAAATCCCCGGCCCTTTCTTACATATTTTAAAGCCCAATTCCTCCAACAAATCCTCTTGGAAAACACATTCAGTCTCACACTGAACTATTCACACTGAACTATTTCAAGTACTACAAAAAATTAAAAAACTAGTATTTGCCCTCCTGGAGCCTGGAATAAAATTGAAGACAGACAAGCTGTGATTTAGGCCAGTAGGCACTGATGGCCCCATTGCTGAAAACAAGTGTGTGCCTGCCCCAGGGGCCTGCCCTCCTCACTGCCAGGGTGCCTGCCGCACGTGTGCCCAGCCTGAACCTGGCGTTGAGTTGAGAGCTGGACATCTTCTCTTGGCAACTTCTAACATACAGGTTAGCTCTTGGGAGCGTGCCTGTCCTTGGACCTGTGAGAATGAGGTGACCGACTCATCCAGGCTTGCCACAGACTCACCTGGGAGGCTGAGGCAGGAGGGTTGGGATTTCAAGCACAGCCTACTTAGCAAGACTCTTGTCTTAAAGGCCTGGATTCCCAGTACCACCAAAAATTTTAAAAATCAGAGGACATTAGATCAGACCTTAGAAAAAGAAATATTTTATCCCAAATAAATATATTGAAAATCTTTGGAATGCTGAGATGAACCCTAAACATGTAAACACTGCTCCCATGAAGAGGCGTAGGTATAAGTGTGTGGTGCCACCTAGTGTCAGTGCTGGCCAGAGGAAAACTGCATGTCCAGAGCCGACAAGGCTAGCGCTGGTGCGTGCTGCCCCTGGTGCGTGCTGCCCCTGTGGGGTCTGAGAGCTGACAGGGAGAACCAGACACACTGCCTGGTTTCCTTACTCTGATCTTTTTTGTTCAGGCAAATGCTGGGAGTGATTTCAAAGTTTTCATTTTTGTACATCTTCATCTTTTTTAAATTACAGCTTTTAAAAAGCTAAACACAATTAGATGGAAAGAGGAAGGGAACAAGAAAAAAATTGAGGTGTGTCATGTGCATGCACCGACTCCCCTGCAGAATGTCATCATCATGTACCGATAAAAACGAAATTTGAAAAAAAGATAAACATAATTTCTTACAATATTTCATATTAGGTCAAGAGCAGAGATTGAACATGAAGCATTAATTGATGGAAATCTGGCTACTGAGGCAAACCTGATCATTTTAGATACGCTAGAGGTTGTTGTCCAGGTAAGACAAAGGAGAATGTAAAGTACAGCCTTGGTAAACTGGGGTTGGGAGGAAGGTGTGTATGGAGTCATGTAATTGCAAGTAAATATCAGTAGTTCCCAAAGGGGTAGTTCCAAGCAGTCTATGAGTCTGTAATTATAAATTCTGTCTTCACCCACAGTTTCAACTGTTTATCATTGTCTCTTTCCTTCAAGGGCTAGTCTTGTGTCTCCAAATGGCCACCCAGTGTTAATATAGTTGTCTGACCTGCCATACTATGTCAGCATGCATGCATAGCCATGGATACATAAGAGATTTTTCATACCTGTGTATTACAGCAATATTTTACACTTTTTTTTTTGGATAGTATTGGGGATTGAACCCAGACCTTCACACTGAGCTACATCCCCAGCCCTATTTATTTATTTAGACATGGCCTTGTGATCCTTTAGCCTCAGCCTCCCAAGCTGCTGGGCATCCACCACTCTGTTCATCTTCAGGCTTTTCATATATAATTATCTAATTCGGTTCTATTAGTAGCCCTCTAGGCAATATTAACCTGTTAATAACAATAATGATATCTGAGCTGGTTGTGGTGGCACACCTGTAATCCTAGCACTCAGGAGCCTGAGGTAGGAGGGTCTCTGCAAGTTTGAGGCCAGCCTGGACTACATAGCAAGACCCTTTTCAAAAAAAAACAGGGCCAGGGATTTAGCTCAGTGGTTCTGCCACCTGCCTCGCAAGCGCAAGGGCCTGAGTTTGATCCCTGGTACCAAAAAAAACCAAAAACCAAAGAACTCTGACATTTATTTTGTTTTTCCTGTGTCCAACACTGTCTTAAGCATTTTACAAATACGAACTTATTGGCCTTGTCAGAAATTTATGTTATTAAAACTATCAGTATCCTTGTCTTGCAGATGAGAGTAGTCAACTAGAGGGATGTTAGTTGCCCACAACCACACGGCTAGTTAGTGGAAGGAGCAGGATTGAAATCAATTACCAAGGCCTCTCTGTCATTGGAGCCAAACGTCCGGGTTCTGTTTCGTCCCCTCAGTGACTGCTGGGCCCTGACCTGGGGCCGCCACTGTGCTGCCTGCCTCATGTTCATCTCCCTCTGTTCTCCTGCTCTGCTCCATTCTCTGCCTTTGCACGGATCATTCTTCAGTTTCCTGGTGACAGTTTTTAAAATTCAGTATTTCTTGATTGTTTAAGGACAAAGATACGAAATGTCAGACTTGGCTTCTTATGAAAACAAATAGTAAAACTGGGGATCCTGGCACAGGCCTGTAATCCCAGCCCTCTGGGAGGTCAAGGCAGGAGGATCACAGATTCAAGCCCAGCCTGTGCACTTAGTAATTTGCAAAACTCTGCCTCAAAGATTGAAAATTAAAATAGGGCTGAAGTGTAGTGCAGCCCTTGGGAAACCGGGTCCCATAGGCCAAGATACCTAATTTAAGCTGCTTGCTTGTGTCAGGACTCCCATGTGCATTTCAGCCTCAGAAAGGAAGAGCAGTGCAGAGCGCAAGCGTGCGTGTGTGTGTGTGTATGTGTGCGTCTGTGTGCGCGTGTTCACGTGTCTAAAGGCGGGCCTTAGAAGGCTGCACCTCCCTTCTGCTCCCATCACTCATCAGGCCCCCCCGGGGTTTTGGTGTTTGAAGGAAGAAGCGAGCGTGGTTACAGGTACAGAGCCAGCTTCCCTGCCACCGCCACCGTGCCCTGCTCATGTCCAGCCTCGGCTCTGCTTGTTTTCTACATGAGCCTCAAGCCGGTCCAGGCGTGTCTATAAATTCCTCCAGAGTGGGGATGGCGAGCCTCTAGAGCTTTCAATGACACAAGCAGTCCGCTGTGGCACGCCCGCCACGGGTTCAGCACCGCTGCCCTAGAGCACACTTTGCGCTTTCCCACCACTGTACCCGTGCTCCCCCTTTTCAAAAGTTTAAATTCTCTTCACTCTTTGACCTTGCTTTATCCAACTTCTTCTTGGCTACTTCTCCTTGAGTCCTCTTAGCTCAGATTACTTTCTTTTCTTTAAAAAATGTGTTTTTTATACATATTTTACCTCCCTAACCAGGTTGCAGGTCCATCTCTATTATACTTGTGTATTTTTAAATTGCAGACAGTTTCCGTGACAGAATCCAAAGAGAGCATCCTTGGTGGGGTGCTAAAGGTGCTGCTCCACAGCATGGCCTGCAACCAGAGCGCCCTGTACCTCCAGCACTGCTTCGCCACACAGAGGGCCCTGGTCTCCAAGGTGAGTCACTGCGTCTGCTGCGGCTGGCTTTGCTTGCTTGTCAGCATCGCCCAGAGTCACTGGACACTGTCTTTTCTCTCGTAACAAAGTACCCAACACCCAAGTTAAAGGGGAAAGGTTTATTTGGCTCACAGTGTGTAGAGGTTGCTGTCCATAATCGGGTGGCTCCAAGACGGGGTGGCATGGCAGAGGGCGTCACAGAGGAGAAACAGTTCATGATGGGCAGAAGGTGGCACAGCAAGTTGGGGGGCAAGACAAGCCTCTTTCTGTCCCTCATATTGTATCCAGGCTACCAGGATTAGGGTGGTGCCAGACTAGTCAGTGGACTGACTTAGTGATCACCCATCCTAATCCCAGCACTGCACCGTAAATCAGTCGCACACTCGATCCAGCCACCTCGGAAACAGCCCCATCTAGGACTGCATGAGGCTCTCTGGGAACATCGAGACACAGCCTAACAGACACAGCGTTGGTTAGCACGTGCATAGTTACACTGTGACTGATTACCTGAGACTTGATTCTGTGTGGGCTCTCTGCTGCCTGCCCTTAGGAGCTTCTCTTATTTTGACCACCATTAACTAGTGTCTAATGTTAAAAATACGGGCCCTTCTCCACATCAAAATTACTGTTTTTTAAAATTTCTCTTCACCTTGCTCCATCTTACTGTTACATATCAAGAATTTAATATATAGGCAGTTCAGTGCAGGGAAAGTAATTTATCCTATGGTGAATGGAAGATATTTCTTTTTGTTCCACTGCTTCAAATATGTAGTTCCTGTATTTATTTGTTTTCTCCTGGAAATATGGTAGGTGCATTTTTTTTTTTTGGTACCAGGGATCCAACTTGGGACCTTGCTCTTGCCAGGCAGGTGGCAGAACCACTGAGCTAAACCCCCAGCCCTGGTAGGTGTAGTCTTAAATTTTGACGGTGGCTACTTCATCCTAGTCATCCTAGAAGATGGAATACAGAGATGTTAATGAAATTTAACCAGTGAAATTATTTCTGTACTATTTTGTAATAATAAAAATAGAGAATTCTCGTATGTTGGCTGTTGTGCTTTCATGATCTCATGAACGCCTCCGTCCCACTTGGGGATGAGAAGCACCATCTTGTGACACTGCTGGCTAGGAATGGTGTCCCTGGTGTCTGTACACCGGTGCCACTGACCTGCACCCTCGGCTCATGTCATCCCGACCTCTGAGTTCCTGTTACTGTGTAACCTCGGGCCGTGTCCCCGTGCTGTCCTCCTAGTTCCCGGAGCTCCTGTTTGAAGAGGAGACCGAACAGTGTGCCGACCTGTGCCTCCGTCTGCTCCGACACTGCAGCAGCAGCATCGGTTCCATCCGCTCCCACGCCAGCGCCTCCCTGTACCTGCTCATGCGGCAGAACTTCGAGATTGGCAACGTGAGTACCCGGGACACCATGATGACAACTCTGTCACATAGGGTTATATTTCTTGGGAGTTTTCCTGTATATTTTGAGTCAAATATTGTGTTGTATTGTCTTGGTATTGCTCATTCTATCGATACCTTCCAAAAGTCCAAATCTCTTAATTTTGCTTCCTGTAGTAAAAGAAAAGTATGTGTAGTGTGTATTATAATGTAATGCACATAACTAACCTATGGGGTAATATAGACTTAGAATAGATAAATGTGTGTTGAACAATTTTAAATTTTAATTGTCACCAAGTAAAAAGAAAGTAATAAAATTAAGTTTTAAATGTATTAATATTTTATGATTACATGTCACAGCCTTTAAAATTTTTCTTTTTTTCATTTAACTTTTGGTTAGATATTACATTCATGTGTTGTATTTTACCTAACTTTTTGAACCACATTTTTAATTCCATTATTTTTACTTATGTAAGTATTTAAAATCATGAATTTTGTGCTAAGCACTGCTCTTGATATCTCTGGCTTGTTCTAATATATAGTAACTTGGTAATTTCAGTTTGTATTTTCTTTTTAGCCTTTTTCTTTCCAAGTTTGTTTTTTTGGGTACCGGGGATCCAACTCGGGTCCTTGCGCTTGTGCCACAGGGGTCGAAACCACTGAGGTAAATCCCCGGCCCTTTATTTCCAAGTTTTGTTGTAGATATAGTTGGTTGCATTGTAATTACAGTGTGTGGATACACCATTTCTGCCTCATGGGCTGTTGGTGTGTGCATTTCACATGTATGGCCAAGCATATAGTCCATTTTATCAACTTGCCACAGTACTGGAAAGGAAGAGGCATTTCTATTTTCAGAATATTGAGATAAACATCTACCAAACAAATATACTTTATTTATTGTGGTATTCTGCTTTTCTCTGTCTTGTTTGGTTTTTGGTCTACTTAGTGGACTGATAAGGGGTTGATTAAAACCTATGCATGTGTTTGTCTTTTTTTTCCTGTAGCTCTTGTTTGATGTGTTACTATTGATAACTATTATATCCTCTTCTGAATTACAGAGCATTCTTGGTTTCATTTAATACTTTGACCTTTGTTGGCCCAAATTCCACCTTGTATGGTATTAAGATCTTGACCTGTGCTTTCTTTTTAATTTGAACTTCATTTACTTTTGCCTGTTCATTTATTTTTACTTGATTTTAGGTGTACTTCTCATATACATTACATAGCTGAGTTTCGCTTTACAATCCAGTCTCTTCTTTGAATTAAACCTTTTCGTATTTGTTGTTACAGTAGCTATACCTTAGAATTCTGTTGTATTATTTTGTGTTTTTGTGGCGTTTTTTTCTTTTTGTTTTGTTTTTTGGTACTAGGGATCAAACTTGGGTCCTTGCACTTGCAAGGCAGCCGGAGGAACCTCTGAGCTAAATCCCCGGCTCTGTTGTATTATTTTATTATTCTCCCCAACTTAAAAATTTTGTGTTGGTTATGTTTATTCTACATTGTGTGATCAATTCACCTAATATTTTGGGTGTCACATTTATCACATTTGAGAAAGTTTGTATTTTTGTTTTATTGGCTACCTTTATAATTATGTATTACCCCCAGTCCTGTATTTCTTTAGATTATGCAGTCTCAGTGAGAATAATATTGCCACTAAGAGAGTAAAAATTGATTCTTGTGGGCCTTATGGGGAAAACCTATCTATTACTATGGTTTATGGCCTGGCAGAGTTCAGCACTACACAGTAGCATTTCATTCCTGTTTATTCCCTCATTGGCCTCAGTGGGTGTCACATGAGCAACACTGACACTGAGTTCATGGAGGTTGAAGAAAGAACAAAATGTATGCAGAATCAGTGCTACAGTCTAATACTCCCATCCCTTAGGCATGTAATATATTCTTATATTAGATGGTGTTATAAAACTGGTATTACCAAAAATGGTAGAGCTGGGGATTTAGCTCAGTGGTTCTGCTGCCTGCCTCACAAGTGCAAGGTCCCGAGTTCGATCTCAGGTACCCCCCAAAAATTGGTAGAGAATAGATGTCTGTACTGTTCATCAATTGCATGATCTCAGAGTCATGTCAAGAGATTGGTAACCATTGGCTCCATTGTGGATATTGTTTGTTTAATTCTCAGTGCTTTTGTGTGTGACTTGGGTTTCAAAGAATGTAATCTTTGTGTTAGTCAGCTTTTCTGTTGCTGAGACAAAATATCTGATATATACAACTTAAAGGAGAAAAGGTTTGTTTTATCTGATGGTTTCAGAGGTTTTGTCCATGGTTGGCAGCCCCAAGATAGGAACATCATGGCAGATGAGCATTAGCATTAGCATGGAAAGCTGCCTCATTGATGGCATCTAGGAAGCAGAGAAAGGGAAGAGCCAGAGAGCGGCTCTGGAAGAGTTGTCCCCAGATCATGCCCCATGGCCCACCAAGGCACTCCCAGAAGGGCGCTATACTGATCTCCTAGGTGTCTCTCAAGACAGGTTGACAGTCAAGATCAATGATCATGTTCTCCGAGCTGTTTGACCCATCATTAATTATATTAGTTGCTGAGAAGAAAAAATGTCAGCATCTGAAAGAGTATCTAGTAGCTAGTTTAGTTGAAACCTATTTCATATATCATAAAAGTTAAATTCAGTGAGGGACAGGGATTTAGCTCAGTGGCAATGAGCCTGCCTTGCAGGCACAAGGTCCTGAATTCAATCCCCGGTACTAAAAGAAAAAAAAGTTAAGTTCAGTGAAATAATTTTTAAGAAATAATTTCTTTTTACTTTCTGAACCAATAGCTGTTTCAGATTTTAAAATTTGATTGTATTGCTGTTGTATTTATAGAAATGGCTAATTTATATTATTTAAACAAAATGATGATATTAAAAGTTAACCAGCAGGCTGGGGATTTAGCTCAGTGGTTCCGGCACCTGTCTCACAAGCGCAAGGTCCCGAGTTTGATCCCCGGTACCAAAAAAAAAGTTAACCAGCAAGCAGGACTATGAAGTTAAATATATAGTTTTCAATTTTTTAAATTAAAATTCTATTTGATCATCCTTAACTTTGCATTAAATTAAGAGAGTAAACTTTATATTTAGTCTTTTTATATATAAATCCAAATATACAGAGAGTACATAAATGTACACTACATTCCTGGTATTAAAATTTTGCTAAGTCATGACAAGGCTTTTAAAACTTTTAACTTCATCTCCCTAATGAGTGTATAATTCAGTCTTGTTATTGTACTGATTAGTATTTTTCTGATTCTAGAGTTGCACATATTTCCTTGTGCTGTACTGGCTATTTATCATC